CCGGCGACCGTCATCACCGACGCAGTTTTTGCTGCTGAGCAGCTTTCATGGCAGAACCACGGAGAACGCGTGAGCAACGATTCTTAAACGATGGACCGATGAGTGGTATAGGATGCAGATCCAAAAGGTGGACCCCCGCTCCCATTGATTTTCCAAGGAGAAGGTGGGAGGGGACAATTGCCCGTGCACGAATTTTATTGCACAAACACACATGGCATCGTGGTGTCAGTTCTGGTGCGCTCACTCAGGTGTTCTATGTGAGGTCTGAGAGTCGCCTTCGTGCGGTCTGGAGTTTGAGTTTGCGGTTTGCGACTACCAACAACTTCAAGGATTTGACAGTGCAATGCATTTATCTATAATTATGTCTGTCTTGCACCCGTGGAGACAGCTACAAATCGTAGACTCTGAGGAAGCTGTAAATGCAAGAGATTGATACCGATGGATTGTCTTGGAAGACTTAGGAGTAAAGAAGAGAAAAGATCAAATGCAACGTAGCACCCATTGTAGAGAATCATGTTTTGTCGTCACAAAATTTTTGATAGAATAATAAATAGATGACTACATGGCTGTATGAAGAGACAAGCAATACTTTATGTGATAATTACTAGACAAGGCTAGCGGTACTACCCTCGACAGACAATAATGACACACTGCATCACTCAGATAATAGAATTTGCACTACTCTGTAACTAATAAGCGCTCTGTTGATTTTCCTAAAAAACAAACCTCGAAGCACCAATCAATTAAGGCTCAGCACCAGATTTGAGGGCTGAGAGGAGGAGTTGCAAATATCCAAGCAAGACTTTCGAGAATGGTAGTTTGTCACAGCGAGCTGCAAAAACGTTTCGTATTCTATTTTAAATTCAACAGTGGCTGCTCCATGTCACATCGCACTGAGTCCTTTCAACAGTAAATGGAAAACATGTTATTTAATTTTAGATTCAGTGCATTTTTCGCCTGGAAACTTCTTCCGGGTGACATTTTATTATAAGTTATTTATTGGTTTGCATGCCGTCATTTTTACTCCTAACGGTGGCTGCTTCAATTCTTCGATGATGTTGCCTGTAGGCAGCCATCAACAAAGCACAGTGCATCCAACGATACCCAAACAATATCCTCCTATCACCTGACTTGATTTCCTTTGGGTTCGTAAATCCTAAAATCTTATGTATTCTGATCGATTATCCCTCGTGAATTATTGCCGCTGTCCGCGCAACCTTCATGCACCTACATGGATTGGGAGAACTAAAGCAATTGGGGAGGTTTGAGTATCGCGGACACATATTATTGACGAGTGGCAGAGAGCCCAACCGTGTCAACCTATCTGAGCGGACTACCACACAATTTTCAGGCCCTCACTCCAGCAGGAGTTCACATATGGAAACATGTTTGTTGACGTTAGACATGATATTGTTTCAGAACTAATAAATTCACTTTGTTATACACACCAAGGAATTTTGAAGCAATTTTAGTTTTTTGCTGAAAAGCAATGAGTTTTATTTAATGTATTAACCTGAATATATATGTATTATGAAGACTGTGAAGATTTATGAAAATATTTGAAGATTCGTAAGCGAAGTAACATTTTTGCTTTTGCAGTTATAATGCATGAACAGAGAAACGTGATATTAATTACTTATAGTAAAATACAAACAATGAAAATTTGATATCAGTAAACGAAATAAGTTGAATAATTTTTCCGGTCATGCAAAGGTAGATAACATTGCAAAGGAAGGAAGATAACAGTGTAAAAGCGCAGCTGAACAAAATTCAATAACTTCCAATATAAACATAACAGTGGCAATGCAATTTGAGTCTTACGTATAACGATATCTCATTACCATTACTACGACTAGAACACTGACTAGAAAATAGCAAAGTCCGTTTGGAAATTTATGTACCAGTCAGTGCAGCATTATTTCGCTGGATACTCCATAATACTACATACATACATACATACATACATACATACATACATACATACATACATACATACATACATACATATATAATACATACATACATACATACATACATACATACATACATACATACATACATACATACATACATACATCCATACATACATACATGCATACATACATACAACATACATACATACATACATACATACATACATACATACATACATACATACATACATACATACGTACATACTCATACATACATACATACATACATACATACATACATACATACATACATACATACATACATACAAACATAATACATACATACATACATACATACATACATACATACATACATACATACATACATACATAGATACATACTACATACATACATACATACATACATACATACATACATACATACATACATACATACATACGTACATGCATATACATACATACATACATACATACATACATACATACATACATACATACATACATGCATACATACATACACCATACATACATACATACATACATACATACATACATACATACGTACATACATAGATAGATAGATACATACATACTTCATACATACATACATACATACATACATACATACATACATACATACATACATATATACATACATACATACGCGCATACACATATATACATACATATATACATACATGCACACGACGAACATGATGGAAGCAAATATAAAGAACAAGATGAAAATTAAAGCAAAATTTTTGAGAGAAGGAGAATGAGAGTTTGGAAAAGTGAAAGAGAATTAAGAGGAGAATGTGAAGAAGAAGAAGACTGTTGAGATGATGACTATATTAATGACGAAAAACATGATGATGAGGAAGGGTGAAGAAGAAATAGGAAGAGTCAGGGACAGCGATAAGGAAAGAAAATGAAGAATATGAGAGAAAGAAGGAAAAACCTACAGTCAACCAAGAGAAGAACTCTATTATTCGAATCCCCTAATACCGTTAATAGCTGCCGATTCTAGAAGTGACCCAGCAACGGCATCGTGAAAATGATTGTGTGTCAGGGGTATGGTAACAATGAAAGTACTGCATAATGCACAATGGAATCAAATAC